ATAATTATTTTTTTCGTTTTTTATTTTTTTTATTGTGCATTTTTATGTCCTTTCCTCTTTTTGAGTAATATTTATTTTTAAACACGTATTCATAGTATGTGAAATATAACAAATAAATAAGCACTACTAAAATAAACGAATAAAATAGTGGATGCGGCCAGGCGAGGCCGACGGACGCCGCGGTCGGGGGCAACGACTGCGCACATCTGACGCGGCGCGTAACTACTGTACAGTACAGTAAAATCGTCAAAGGCAATTAATATGGAATAGATCGCTCTCAATTCTGAGACTACGACCTTGAGATACTCTGTTCATACAAAACAGCATCTCAACTATTCATACGGGCCTTAGATGCCATATTACAATAACAGATTTATTTAAATAAAGAACAAGTGTTATATTCTCATTAGCAGAGAAAAATACCTAAAAAGTTAATAAAAATTTTGTTACAAAAACAAATACTTATTGCAGTTTAATACATTAGTCAGAAAGAAATTTATAACTAGTTATAAGACAGTACTTACGAGACCGGCGATGTAGGTAGGTACAACGAGGAACGAGGAACATATTAATTGTTTTCACTAGAACTTTTTATTAAATCAATCACACTGGTAGTACACTAATTAGTTGTTTCAAATCAAAAAGTATTTACACTAGCAATAAAAAGAGACTTAAATTATTATCTGCAAAATTGTTGCTCTAAACCACCATTTTGCTGCAGACAAAGGTTGGCACGTTTGCGGACGTGTCTTTCCACCCTTTTTAAAGTGTCCCTATCACTACTCACTGCATAAAATGCAACTATGGTTCTATGGTTTGGGGACTCATTCGTAAACCAAACCTACTTCGTCACACTCGCGATAGCAGTACACCATCTCTAAATATTCTTGGTTCGTATACCGAGGCATAATGAAATTATCACAGTGTATGTCACTAAGTCAAAAGATGCGCACGCCCACGCGCTATTGATATACTTGCGACTGCGCTTTGCATGCAATCAAAGCAAAGCACCGCACTGTTTAACAAATTAGTATCTTCCTTAGAAATATTAGCAATCAGAAGATTCACAAAGAAGACTCCAGAAGGTGTTATACCATTAAAAACAATATCTGTTACTTTTGCCGGAAATGTTTTACCAGATTATGTTACCTATGAACTTTGTGCTTTACGTGTAGAACCTTATGTGAGACCTGTCTTACAGTGTTATAAATGTATGAACTTCGGTCATACTTCCAAATTTTGTAAAAAAAAAGCATTGTTTGCTCTATTTGTACTGGTCCTCATTCATTCAAGGAATGTGACAATACTGAAAATCCTACATGTGTCAACTGTAACGGAGGTCATATAGCAATCTCAAATACATGCCCTATAAAATAACAAAAACTAGAAGAAAATAAGAATAGAATATTAAATAAAATTACTATAACATCACAGTTTCCACAAATAAACAAACAAACTTACAATAAAACTTTATCCCCAGACATACCACTACATAAAACAAAGAAAATGGACAATAAAGATTTGTTATTAGAATTTATTAATAATGAGGCAATATTGAATGCATTTATTAAATTATTTACAATTTTAACTGATAAAGATAATAAACTGGCAGTAAATTATAAAACAATTAAGCAAACCTTGATAGAAAGTGTTAGTAAAAATAGATAGCTACAATTATAATTATTTAAAAATATGTCAACATAATATTCCAAGTTTGAAACCAAAGAAAGCCTTAGTTCAAAACTTTATTTATAGTAATGATATAGATATTTTGGTGTTAAATGAAACTTGGCTTAAATGTACTGATAATTTTTATATACCTGGTTACAGAGTTCTACGCAAAGATTCAGGTAATGGTTATGGCGGAGTAGCTGTTTTATACAAAGAAAATATTGTATGTAAGTTATTATGCACTGTTTTTACAAATGAAATTCAAAACATAGCAGTTAGTATAGATTATAGCTGGATACCACCATTTTTAGAAAAGTTTTCTTCGCAGAAGGTTACAGATCACACATTGAATTCATTAAATAGTATATTTGAAAGCAATAATACAATTAATGAGCATTTAATCCAGCTTTTCACTGAAGTCGAATTTAATTTTGCATTAAGTAGTAGAAAAGATACAACACCCGGACCGGATGATATACCGTATCTTTTGGTTAAAAAAATGCTTAATATTTGCAAGATGATTTTATTGAAAATTTTTAATTGTTTGTGGGAGAAAAACTTAATTCCTTCTAGTTGGAAATTTATCCAAGTGGTTCCGATATTGAAACAAAATAAAGATCCCTTATTAGCAGATTCATATAGACCCATTTCTCTTAATTCATGTGTAGGAAAATTGTTTGAGAATATGATAAAAAATAGACTAGAACAGTATGTAGAATCAATCAATGTTATACCTTTCGAGCAGTACGGTTTTCGTAAGGGAAAAAGTTGTATCGATAGCATCTTAAAATTTTCCGGCGACATACAGGATACATTTGCCAACTGTTCACAGTTAATTAGCGTTTTTCTGGATACTAAAGGAGCATTTGATAGCATAGATTTGGTCGAGCTGGTACATGTACTAAGTTCTTATAATATACCAGGAAAAATTTTAAGATTCATTTTTTACTTCTTTTACGGTCGAAAAGTTTCAATTAAATTTAATAATAAATTATATGGTCAACAAGCAGTATATAAAGGAGTTATGCAGGGAGCTACTTTGTCTCCTTTGATGTATTCATTGTACACGGCAGAAATACGCAGATTCGTTAATCTTGAAGAGGTTAAAGTATTACAATACGCTGATGACTTAGTAGTATATACATCTAATAGAAATTTAGTTAAGGCACAGGTAGATATAAATATTGCACTAGGTGAGCTATATAAATATTATAAAGTTAAATTAAAATTAGATCTTAACCCTCACAAAAGAACAGTTATATTATTTAATAAGAATCGAGGAGAAGCGGTGAATATAACATTAAATTCATTAAGTGTACCACAAGTTTATGAGCACAGATTTTAGGTATAATATTCGATACTAAAATGCAGTTTAAGTCACATGTAAATAATGTTGTAGTCAAAATGCAGAATGCTGTAAATATATTGAAGTATGTAGCTAATGTTAGTTGGGGAATGGATCCCAAAATTGTAAATATGGTTTATAAGGCAATAGTACGTAGTCATTACGATTACGGATTGTTTGTATATATAAATTTCATTAATAGTTATTTCATCCATAAGTTAGATGTAGTCCAAAACAAAGGACTTAGAATAATTACAGGAGCAATGTGCTCAACACCCATTAATTCTCTGCAGATTGAAGCAGGTATAGCGCCTATTCATATTACAGCAAGTTATTTGGCCGAAAAATATTTCCTTAAAGTAGTAGCCAACGAACGATATTATAATGAATATTTTAACAATGATGTATTTCTAACGAATTCAATAAAAGAGGAATTAAAATTAGAATGTATATAGAACTGACAAATGGAATTTTGGATCCCTCGAAACTCAGTTGATGAAAATTCATATTTTACCAATAAAAATTATAAACAACACAGAATTTGTAAATTTTGTATATACAGAGAAGAGAGAGCATAGAAAGATTTACACCAATGGTTCTAAAACGGAGAGTGAAGTTCAAGCTGCTTTTTATGATTCACAAGAAAAAATTGGTCGCTGTTTCCATTTAGATACCAATAGAAGAATTGGTATTTTTACGGCTGAAGCATTTGCTATTTACGAAGCTTTAAATTACATTAGAAATATTTATCAAAGAAAATGTTTAATTATTACGGACTCTCTCAGTGTCTTACAATGCTTAGAATCTTGTACCATATCTTATAAGAGCAATATTTACATTTATAAAATAAGAGAACTTATAATTTTTATTATTTTTAAAGCATGTAACTGCTTGATGTTTAAATCTAAAGAAAGCCGCGGTAGCATAATTGGTCAGTGCATTCGCCCGGATTGCGAAGGGTGCGGGTTCGAGTCCCGTCTGCTGCCTGGTCCGCGTGGAATTTTTTCTAGTTATATTTTCTTTAGATTTAAACATCAAGCAGTTACATGCTTTAAAAATAATAAAAATTATAACTATAATTGCTATTTCTTCTTTCAAATGTTTAATACTTGTAAAAGTATTCATTTGACATAGTGGGTTTACCTATAATGCGAAGAGATGGCGCTGCCTTGCAGCTTAAGAATAGCTAGAAGGAATTTCGACGCGGTCCGTGAGGGCCGCGGTAGCATAATTGGTCAGTGCATTCGCCCGGATTGCGAAGGGTGCGGGTTCGAGTCCCGTCTGCTGCTTGGTCCGCGTGGAATAAGAGAACTTCTTAAATTCTTTGAAGAAAATGGAATAACTATAGAACTAATGTGGGTACCCTCGCATACTGGAATAACAGGCAATGAAATTGTCGATTCCTTAATGAAACATAGAATACCAAATATACCAGTCTACAGTGAGTCCTTTGTTCTGTTTACTGATTATTTGCCTTTACTAAAAACAAGATTATATCTAAAATGGAAAATGTACTGGGAAGAGATTCTAATTGAAAAAGGTGCATGGTATGCAAGCATACAAAATGAAATCCCTAAAAAACCATGGTACTTTAAATTAAAAAATCCTACAAGAAAATTCATTACAACTATAAATAGACTACGAATGGGACATGGTCAGTTTCGAGCGCATTTACACAGAATAAATCTCGAAGACGATGACAAATGTCGTTATTGTGAGACAGGGCGAAAAGAAACTCTTGAACACCTGATATTAGAATGCAGAGCTTATGATCTACAAAAATAACGATATCCCCAATCACTTGCCGTCTATCATTGGGAACCAGGAGTTCTATGAAATACTATTTGAATTCATCGTAAGCACTATTGGCAAGATATAGATGACTTATAACTAATGATTGGCCAATATGGGAATCTCCAAGGCCGTAAAACTTATAAAAAAAAAGTACTCTATGGTGTTCAAAACTACTTCAAAACATTGCATCGATTGATTGTTCAAACTCCTACACTACAACATATTTTTTCTTTCAATTTTACTATTCACTGATGATTAGGATTAAAATAAAATATATTCTTTTGAATTCTGTGTTAACTTACAATACTTTATAGTCGAATCAAGATTCAATAGCTATGGACTACGATTACTTGATTAAGCTGTTGTGTGTTGGAGATTCAGGGGTTGGTAAAACAAGTTTCTTATATAAATATACTGATGGAGTCTTTCACACTCAGTTCATTTCAACTGTGGGGATTGACTTTAGAGAAAAAACAGTGGTAAGTTATAATTTTATTGATTTTTTAAAATGAACATTGAATAAAATATTATTTCTGATTTATTGATATTTACCCTATTAATAGATTTTCAATTTATATTTACTTACAGATTTACCAACAGAATGGAAGACAGCACCGAATACATCTTCAACTTTGGGATACAGCAGGTCAAGAACGGTATGACTTGACTTATTTGAGTTTATTATTTTTTATTTATTTATGAATAAAATGCTTTCTTCATTAATACTGGTCTTGGAGTGCACTCAACTTCTCAACTCTTAAAAGAAAATTATTCTACATGTGCATGGATGATGATTTTTCATTTTGAAATTGAATTGAAATGGATAATCAATATAGCCAGGTAATATAATAATCTATTATCTGGAACAATGAAATTACTTTATACAGTGGTTATTTCAGATTCAGAAGTTTAACCACAGCATTTTATCGTGATGCAATGGGCTTCCTACTTTTGTTTGATTTAACAAATGAAGCTTCATTTCTGGAAGTTCGGAATTGGATTGAACAACTGAAGGTAAGCTAAAATTATATTATTAATCATTTATGTTATGTAAATATCCAGCCTAAGTGGTCACAAGTAATAACATCTTATAATTTATCTATTATTTGCCAAAACTGTTCTAATTGTGTTTATCTAATTAAGTTTGTTATTGCTTTCATATATATATATATATATATATATATATATATATATACATCTTGCTGATCATATTGCGTCTTATATGGCGATTTTTGCTATTGATCCTGCGTCCGACCGACTTGATGCGTCCGGTATACGGACGCAAGATTAACCTAGCCTCATTTTTGGTGCAAAGACGTCTTTTCATGCATAGAATGCATGGGCAAAAATTTGGCGTGGACTCAATTTCATCACCAGAATGCTTTTTAACGTATTTCATAGTGCAACCATTGACCGTGCGGAATTTGGAGGGCGCTACCGTGCAGTGTATATTTTGCAATGTATATTTCGGGTTCAATTTACAGATTTTATTGCGTCTTCCTATATATATTTAAAAAAGTTTTTATCAATTCTCTACGATGATTATCTTGCATCCAGTAGGCATCTTAATTTGCGAGATCGCGCGACACCTGAGGGGCCCGTTTTGGGTGCATGGGAGAGACGAAACTGGGCGTCCTACGGGTCGCGTGTGTTTGTATATAGATCCGTGCTCCGTGGATGCAAACTTATTACCGGAGTGAAATTTATCGTATTATTTGATAGAAGTAAATAAACGTAAAACAATGAAGAGATTTTTTTTATTTTAGCAAATTTGATATTTTATACCATTGATAACTATTAGGATATTATTGTTTTGTTTCCGTTTTCGATTTTTTATAATGTAGATACATAATGAACCTACACGATTAATCGATATTAATGATCGAGAGAACTTTAACAACGTTAATTATTAGCCCCTATTTTATTAAGAATGTGATTCATTTGTTATTTTGTGGTAATGTACTTACCTACAGAGAATTCTAGTGAGAACTGTTGGTTAAATTGTTAAGTATACAGTATGGTTCAGCCTTTGTTATGGTATTTATAATATCACATCTAGAAAACTTGTTAAATATGTCACTGAAATTAACTCAAACTTATTTCTATGCACCATTTGCTAATTTGTATCAATGATTTTTTTTTTGATATCCCAATTAACCTGACCTCTTCACTATCACTTAGTATGTATACACGTATTCACCTTCCCTATAACTTATACAAATTCAAAATTCGAATTCAATATCAACGCAACCGTGCCCTCCACCAACACGACAAGACGAGCCAAGCAAAGTGCAAGGGCTCCACGTAACTTTTCCCGAAGGGCTTCGTCATTTTAGTGGACCTTTATAAGTAGGGTTTGGATTATCCACATAAAAAAATCTCGAGTTATATAAGTAACGGTGAAGTCCAGACGCGATAGCTGATACAGCAGTTCACCTGCCACACCAGCCATCCTCACCCTGCCGGCCTGCATGTTGCTTCTTCACGCCTCCTTTAAAGAATCCCAGGTTGTAAGAGGGAGGGAATACGTGAGCGGTCAGCGCATTCCATCTATGGATAGTGCAACAAAAAAATGAGTGAAGAAATTTCTTTGTAAGCGTTGGAATTGTGGTCACAGTTAGTCGGTGACAACGTAGGTCAGCGCGCGAGGTCCAATGAAGGAAAGGGGAAGGTGGGATAAGAGAGAATAACTCCTCAGAACACTCGCCGTGGTACAGACGATAGAACGTGCTTAGTGACGCCACGTCACGGCGTAATTGTAGAGGCTCTAGGTGTTTAGTCACCTCTTCATCGCCTATAATGCGGATCGCGCGCCGCTGTAACCCATTCAAGGTATCGAACAAGTACTTGGTGGAGTCATCCCAGGATTGCGAGCAAATTTCCACGCAAGACCGCACCTGCTCCTTATACAACAAGCACAGTTAAATTGCTCAGGCGTGAAAAAACGCCGAAAAAAACCTTGAAATAAACCTTGTTCAGGTCTCCAAGACATGAAAGGAATGGCAACGTTTTTGCCGTGAAAGCGCAGACCTGGGTTTTATTAGCATTGAACTCAACCAAACCTGGTACCCCATTCAGAAATATGGTCCAAAGCCTGATTGAATTCAATGACAAGATTCTCCCGTTTCTCCTTGGTAACCGCCTGCCCAGCCGCTGCTTGTCCGAGCTACCCCGCATGCACTGTACTATCGTATGCATCGCAATGAATATTCCCAAAAGGAATTTTAGTCATTGATATGCAGCAGAAAGATAGTGGGGGATAGGACGGAGCCCTGAGGAACGCCGTCATTCACTGACATGAACCGCGAACTGTTACCATTCGTAAGGACACGAATTCTACGTTCATGCAGGAGCTACCCAAGAACAGAACTGTGCTGGCAGACCGTATGCCGGAAGCTTGGAGAGAATGCTTTTGTGCTAGACCCTGACGAACGCCTTGGCAATGTCAAGGCTGATAGCCAACGAGTTGCTCCGCTTGTCGATAGCCTCACCCCAGATATGAGTCAAGTACGCTAGAAGATCACCCGTCGATAGTTTGGGTCTAAAACCATATTGAAGATCATTAATCAAGGATTCATCCTCTAGGTAGTGGGTCAGATGGTTGTTAAGAACCTTTTCTAGGACTTTATATAATACTGGGGTGACTGCTATTGGCCGGTAGTTTACCGGGTCTGAGGGATCCCCTTTTTTGGGCACCGGTTGCACGTTGGCATCTCTCCAAGTCTCCGGCACACACCCCAAAGAATACGAGCATTGGTACAAGCGCGTGAGAGCCGAAGACAACTCCGCTGCACATTTTTTTGGTACTACTGATGGGATGCCATCAGGTCCACCAGCTTTCCGGATGTCGAGTGATTGCAATTCGACACGAACCTCACGCTGCCTGATTTTAATATCAGGTATCGTTGTGCCACAATGAGGTAATGATGGTGGCAGTGCATTGCAAATATCGATTCTAGAGTTAGCCGCAAAGAGTTTTGCCAGTAAATCGCCTTTCTCCCGTGGCTTATGAGCTAGTGTTCCGTCAGGGCATCTCAGAGGTGGCAGCGAGAGCTGGCAGAAGTTCTTTTGCACGGCCTTGGCCAAACGCCAATAGCTACGGAAGCCCGAAGGATGCGTTATAAGTTCGTGACCAACACGTGTAACGCGCTGGGCATCCGCTGTAATCCTTCTTACAGGTCTTGAAAGCAAAATTATAGGCTGCTTTTAGTGAATCGACCCCGGGATCCTTAAGAGCGCGGCCTCAGATCCAAGCACGATATGCCGCTTGCTTACGCGAAACAGCTTCAGCACAGTGGTGATTGAACCAGAGGTTACGTGTGTATATATATATATACTTAATACTTATACTGATGAGATTGGAATGAGAAATATAGTATTGCATTACCATTACAATCTCCTCAGAATAACAACGGCGCTGGCCGATAGGTTCTTGTCACTGAAGCAGCGCTGCTTCCAAGGGACGGACGCAAAGTTGTCACGCATACCGTTCAAATCTGCCGACCCATAGTGACAGATCCGGCGTTGTACCACCGTTGGACGCGCAGGCTTGGCCTGTGGCGCTTTGGTAAATAACGGGCAGTGATTCGAAGAGCCCAGAGACCGCTTACCACAACCTGACAGCTCTGTGGATGGATCGTGAGCAGAAGGTCCAGTAATAAAGGTGCTTGACTGGAAATATCTGGAATCCTGGTGGGCTGATCGACCAGTTGCTTCAAGTCATGCGTGAGCAGAGGCCTGCATGGTTGGTTTTCGAGGAACTTAACCACAACTTAAAATTGTGGTAAGCATTAAATTCCCCCAAAAACATCAATTCTGCTTTGGGAAATTGTTCTTGCGCGTCATCTGCTGCCCGACTAAGGTGTTCGAAAAGTCGAGTTGTCTCAACATCGCGAGTATGGGATCTGTAGAGGCACACGTAGACTTTGGCCTGGGGACCAGAGTCGACGTGTACCACCAGCATGGAGTAGGAGTGATCTTCCAAGCAGGGGAGATGGCGACAACAAACATTCGCCCGAACATACAGGCATACACCGGCTTTCGCTTTGAAGGACACTTTAAACACGTAGCCGGGATAGTTAAGGTAGCCTGTGTCAGCAGGCAGAAGTATTTGTGTCTCCGTCAACAATGCTGGGCGTGGTTTTTCAAGATAGTGGTGGACAGCGTTGAGGTTAGAGTGGAGTCCGCGTATGTTGCAGAACTCTACCTTAAACAGCATTGAAGGCGAAGTTTGGGTGTATAGCGGTGCATACCTATGGGTGGGGTGGGGTAGGGTATGCACCGCTATACTTAGTTGTTTTAGGGGCTGACCCGTGACCCCACGCCCCGGTCACCAGCCGGCACGACAGTCCACCCCGAGATTATGCGTGACATAATAGGGCAGCCTCACGAACTGGTTAGTAACGCTCGGGCGCCTGTACTGTGCCACGGGCGGCCAGCGGGACAGCCGTTTCTACGGGTCTCCCTGTACGGCGGGTTGATGCAGTCCTCCCGGCATAGATTCGATGGATGCCTCCTCTGGACCGAATCAGTCGCGACAACCTCCAATCGAGCCCTGGTTGTATGCTGGCTGACCCCGAAACACGCGAGAAGCACTTAACGGGTTTTTCACCATGCGCACGGTGGTAACAAACCAGGCGGGTGTTAGGCTGCCTACCATCATAAGAGCGGATGGAAGCTCCGATATCCCTTATTCGCTTCTTACGACACCCACAGGAAGTGAAGGGGCGGTGAGTTGTATTCTTTCTCCGTCACCGCACTGATAAAATTGGTCTTAGTGTTAGGGCGTGTAGAGATAGAAGCATGGCTCTACGTGCGATCTGATAACTTTTTGTCCGTGCAAGTGATACATGATCCCGTCTTGGCAACATTTTCCATGAAAATGTTTTGGTGAGATCTTTTATTCAGTTCAGGCTTTCAGGCACTTGTGTACGTCAAGAAGCTACCCCATACAAATCTACGGCGGGGGGGGGGGGGGGGCTTGTACTAAGAAGCGGCAAGAAACTCATCAAGAGCTTGTTTTATCACCCTGTAGGTATTATTTTAATACAGAGTCATCAAATTAAAAAATGAGGCCAGAGATAATTCATGAAGTCGTTTTCTATTACATATTTAATTCTTTATTTAGAGCCTACCTACTTCGAATTAGTCTATTTACACCAACTTTTCTTATTGTCTAACTATTATTATCTTTCCTAGGTACAACAAGGCTGGGTGGCTTGTATCGCTTTCAAATAACCTTTATACAAGGATTTATTATGGATACCCACTTTTAACCTAACTAATTTTTACATTGGGAAAATGAATAATACACCTAGACTTGAAGCCAAGCTCAGTGTTTGATCATAAGCCTACCCACTAAAAACCTTACAGATCGCCATTGGACAACTCTTGGCAGTACTTGCATCAGGCAAGACAACGGAACGGACAGTATTCTAAGTTATCCTTGGTGGATCCCTCCGACTCCGTTGTCGAAGATGTACACAGAGCACAACTATATTGTCGTTGGGCCCGTAAAATACAGGGTCAAGGGACCACGAAGCCCGAATCCCACCGGTAATCTTGAAATTCCAGACCAGCCGAGCTAAAAAAGTTATCTTAAATATGATCATGACTTTAATAAATAAAAATATAAAGACAAAAGTTACGGACCATTGTAAACTTTAAGATATAATAAAAAAAAGGAACTTCCCTGTCTACCCGACTGACCTGTGTAAAACTCAAAAATAACGATCAAGCTTTAAACAAAAATAAGTAATTGTAAGAACCTACTTACTACTCCCAAGACAATATAAGTGCTGGTGTACCTGGAAGCCGGTGGACTAGCAGGATGAATATTGTTGATATACAGTACCTACAGTATTCGGAACTAACAACTCTCTTTTTTAAAATTGAGGGACGTAACTTTGTAAAAATAAATCGTATAATGCAGAATCAATTTAAACATAAGTTTGGACGGAGGTAGGAGCATTTAAGCAGTGCATAGAAGATATACGTACATATTCAGTGTGCTGTATGGTTATGGTAGTGAACGGATGCCCTAAATTACCGGGAAATATTAAAATCGAATATTGGCATTTTATATTTTAACGCAATTTCGCGTAAACTCAAGAAATTATAATAATAAAAGCTACTTAAATACGCATTTAAAACATTCAAAATCGCGTCGAGTACAGTGGACGCCGCAGGGTGGCAGTTTGTAAAGATGCAAGAAGTCTTCGAAGATGTAAATATATATATATATATATATATATATATATATATATATATATATATATACATACATATTGCTTATTTAACTATTTGCTGGAAAAAATATTTCCTTACAGGTACCTATTGTGGTTATATTTCTTGAGGTGAAGTGTTATAATTTTTTCAGACTCACAGTTTAAGTGAGGACCCTGATATAGTACTGTGTGGTCACAAATGTGATCTGCAAGAAAAGAGGTTGGTCAATCAGAACCGTGCCAGAGACTTTGCTAAGAATTATAATTTGCCATATTTGGAGACAAGTGCGAAGACTGGTCAGAACATTGATCGAGCTATAGAATTACTTCTTGATAAAGTGATGTACAGGTATGATATTTTTTTATATTCTAGATCTACTGTTTCGAGCAAAATTAAACTAGTAATTATGTCTAGTAATTTCATGAATGTTGCAATTGATTATTTTGTAAAAAAATATTTGGCATACTGGCAATTGTAGGTGATTGTTCCAATCCAAGGTGCCAAGAGGAACCATGAGGGGGATATAGCACAGAACACAGAAAAGGAGTAAGAACAAACAAGTTGACCAAAACTTGGTTCTGATTGCATTGTTGCTCTCGGCTGTGAGCGCCGATTGGTCCAGTTTTTTTTTGATGTAGCGTAGTTTGGCTATTATCTTTAAGATAGAAGTGTAGTGAGGGCGAGCCGGCGACATCGGCTAGCCGATGAGCTAGCTAGTACGGGAGCCGCGGCTCCCGAACAAAGTCTATAATCACTCTTCTTACTTCTCTCTGTGTGTTCTCTGGGACAGAGGATACTTGTAGTCGCGAAACTAAAATGTGCAAGGAATGGAAGTTTGTTAGTCTCTCCTTTTCACTCTTTATACAGTGTAATAAGGACAACCTCTGTCAAAATGACGAATAGCAAGTATGTATAAATAATATTGGGAACCAATTATTCCATGCAAACGAAGGACTGTGGGCTCTAGCTAGATCTCTAACACGAATTGTATTTATTTTTTCAGAATGGAGACGTCTGTTGAATATGCAATGCTTTGTGCATCAGGTCGACGTCGGCAGTCCTTGCAGAAATTACAAGCAAAACAAGACCATAAATTGTGCTCTTGCTAAAAGGAAATGTTACTTATTGTTGTCTGTGATTCTTGATCGTACATACTGACTAGCTTTACTCTTCTACATGATTTATATATGAAAAATTGGTAGTTTTTATTAGATATACACATACCAAAACAAAAATATTTAACAAAAATTGTTATTTCTCTAATAAAATGTTAAAACTAAAATTTAATCAAACCAGGCGTTGTCGTCGTATTTGTAAGACTGATTTATTTACACTGTCTTAATATTCCACATATTCAATTAATAAAATTGAATATGCACTTTTTTCTAAGAATCTTTAAATTATTTATAACAAAATAAATTTGCTAATACATAAATTGTTCCTGTACACGCCATTTATGACCATTACCTGCAATCTCGGTCTTTTTTGGCAGTGAGCAAAGAAAGTAGTGTCTCCTGTCACAAACTTTATTTAAACTTTATGAAGAATATTGCGCCAATGTTTTTTGAAATAAAATTATTTTCTCCACAAGTAGTTTAAAATAAAGTTTTATATTTATTATGTGCTTACAAATTAAGTCTGTCTGTTGTTTTACAAGCACATTTTTTATATTTAACTTAATCATGTTCACTTTGTTAAAAAGCGTGCAGGGTTATTTATTATCTAGTCAAATTATGATTATAACTTTTATCTCATTTATCTAAACGTTTATTTTAATATCAAGGTATTTTTTTAAGTATGAGTTTTTTTATTAATATATTTGTTTATATAAGTAACTTATATTTAAACAAAAATTAAATATTTTTAATATTTTTTTAATATTAACTTCGTAAAGAAAAGTATTAAATATGAATAATTAAGGGTTTGCTATTGTTGAAATAAGTATTATATACATAATATAAAGATGTATTGCATATTTGTTTCTTTTGCATGCATGCATAAAAATGTTTTAAGTATTCGATAATTAAATTTGTGTATATAAACCATAGAGTAAATACAAAAACGGAGGTGTTATAATATTGATTTCTTATGAAATTCTCCGCCTTTAAATAATAGCCATCTTATCAGTAGCATAAGTGTATGTGTCTGTAGGTGATTTTGCACAGTGAACGTTAAAATGACAATTGAAATGTTATTGTTATTACTAATGAATATGTTAATACATCAAATAATTACAGTTATTGAAGTAAAGAAAATGTGTAAAGACGTAAAAAGATATCAATATTTTGCTTGACCAGTTTTGAATAAATTTTGATGAAATGTGCAATCAAACAAAATCATTTATTGATTTACCATAATGTATTTAAATAAATGGTGATAATACATAAATATATGAATTCAGATTACATAAAACTGTAGGAAATCCTAGATTTTGACAAATAATTTAAGGAAAAAATATTCAAAATAAATACTTGTTTTTCAAAATGCAAACGATGAAAACCTACGGCAGTATATTTTAGTTGATAGAAGACTGAATAAGGGCCGACACTTAGAAATTATTCTAAGGGCCGACAATGATGCTGCTAGAGTCACGGTTCTTATTTGCTTGTGCCACCTCTCATTTTTGTATTTACTTTGCGGATTACACACATGCTTTTAAAGTGTTTGGCCTATTCGTTTGAATATATAATTAATATTTAAAGTTACCCGTATTGATCGTTAATATGTAGGGTAATTGGAAAATAGGTGCAAAGCTTTAAGGGGTAGCTTGCATAATCTATTTAGAACCATTTAAGCCAAGTTTTTCATTTCATTAGACAAAGTATGATATTTTCATAATGTTTTATTTTATTTGTCTTGCACGTAGTATGTTTTTTTTATAAGATTTTTGGTATAAACCCGAAATGTAACAATTACTTGCAAAAATGGCCATTTTGAATGATAAATTAATTCTTAATTTTTTTTTTAACAATGTGTATGTAATTTAAGAAAACATGTTAAAAACGTCGAAATCATTAAGTTAATATTCTTCTGAAGTTTAAAGTAAATAAAGTGAAAATTTGTTTCGACGAGTATAAAAAAAAACGGAATGTATTCTGTTTTTTAAACTTTCTAAAAACATGCTTGGTTATTATGCTTTCTTTAAGGTATCATTAATGCGAATATATCACAAATTATTGAAACTAGAGGGCTTGTATTACAATTAATGATAAGTAATTACTTTTATTCGCTCGCTTTTATTGTACTATTTTGGATTTTTTACCAAAAGTCATATAAAAAACCGGTCAAGTGCGAATCGGATTCGCGCACCGAGGGTTCCGTACAAACCTTTTGGTCTATTTTAATAATTATTAAAAATATTTTTTTATTATATGATGTAACTAAAAATTTACAGTTTTCGCAATTTTTCTTTATCTGTACTATAAGACGTTACTTCGTACCAAATTTCAAGATTCTATGTTCAGGGGGAGTACCCTGTAGGTTTTGATTTCTTTGCGAGTTTTGAAAATTTGCGTCATAAACGGCTGTATCTTTTGATTGCTTTGGCTTTAGAAGTTTGATTTTTTACAGCTCCAAGGGAGAGTAGACCTGAGTATTAGACATGAATTTAAGTTTGATACCTCCACGCGTTCCTGAGAAAAACGATCTTGACAGACGGACGGACGGACAACAAAGTGATCCTATAAGGGTTCCGTTTTTTCCTTTTGAGATACGGAACCCTAAAAACATGCTTCGTCGAAGACAAATATGGCTCAAATGGTTCTAAATGGTTTATATCAGCTTCCCTTTAAAGCTTTGCACCCATCTTCAAATCATCCTGTATTATTTACTTAAAATTTTAAAGTTAAGTAATTAGGGTAAGGATTATTGATTTTGTTCAAAGCATTAGGCATTGATGGTGAATGCTTCATGCATACTCCACAGGCGGCTGTGAACTTAAGTACCTACTAACAGAGGCTACTCCTGGCCCGGCAGGAGTTCAGATGTACATACAAAAGTTATTAATTTGCCAAAGTTTCAAAAATAATTTATATTGAAATTAACAACCTGATGTGTCTTAAAAATATGGAAACATCATATTTGCCGTTTGCTTGTACACCAAACTAAGTAACAAGACCTAATTGCTATTATATGCATTTTCTATGACTAGATGCAGATTTGTTATTTTAAAATAATCAGATGGATCGATATTTTGATTTTCTGTATATTTGTTTAAGATAGATACCAGTATTCATAATTTAAGGTTAAATATTTGAAACCTTTTAAAATTGGACCTGAGATGCTATTATAATTTATCTTATTAATTAAGTGATAAGAAAACAAGGTGTATATCATATGATGAGATTAGTTGTTTTTGAAGTTTTGCAAGGTGAAAATGAGATTTTTTACAGGAATTTTCGGTATTTAGTATTCGTAGATTCCGTATTTTATTCTATTTAATAACTCGCGTACAAATATGCCCCATATCAATATGTGCCATGTCTTCAGATAATTAACAAGTTTTATTCACTTAGTCTTAAGGTATACCTACGTACTAGACTTTTGATAATTGCATATACATACATTAAATGGCTTAAATATTTACCTATGGAAGTTATAAATTACAATAAAAATTAAATATTCCTTGACCAAATTATCGTATACTTAATTATTACATAATACCTAATATTTACTATAAGTCAATTTGCGAACAATTATTTATATTTAAATTAAATGTTTTGTGTGCATTAAAGTCAAATTATTATAAAGGGTATTTTATTTAAATTTTCAAGAATCTTTTATTCTATTAACCTCGATTAAGTTGCTATTATAAACATGTTTTAGCATGGCAATTACAGGATAGGGATTTATTGATGATGACTAAGCCCGTATGCCCGTATTCGGGTGCACGAAAGAAATTACTCGAATTCGGGCACCCGAAGCAATATTTACACTGGAATACGAGCTGGCAGACATTGTCGGGTAACCAAAACGAAAACTACCCGAATACGGGTATAGGTACTAGACTCCGTTCATTTATTCTTAGGCGTTTATCCGAATTCCGTTGGCACTCGTATCGGGTCAACGACCACATGTAATCGCGCCAATAGGTATATTTATTTGAAAAAGGTACATAGATAGATTAATAAGAAAATGGCGCCACATGCGGTCGGTGAAAATTAGAACTACATCTTTCGTCACTTTCTCTTTTTACCCGACTGCGCAATGCAAGAGCGCGAAGCGCGACGCGCAGACAGGGTATAGTGTTTAACAGTCTATCTATGTCTATGTATGTTTGTTCCTTTGTGGCACACTAGAGACCAAACGCCTGGACCGATTTTGATGATTCATACATCAATCGATTCGTCTCAATCATGGGAGTGCTACTAAAGATATGATAGTAATCAAAATTGAATAAAGGTAAAATTAGGCGCCATATTGTGACGAAGTAAAAAAAATAAGTTGACAAAATATGTCACTGTCTAGATAATCGAAAATCATGTTTAGGTTCGTAACACCATTTTCATTTTATATGATTGTTTAGGATCTACAACGCTTTAAAGTTGTATATTAACCACTTGCGCTTTTAATTTCAATCTTACGTTTGTATGGATCTTTGTTACTCTTTCACCTAAAACATACTGAATGGATTTTAATGAAACTTGACAGTAATATAGCTCATATGATAATATCATATATATAATAATTTATGTAGTTATTGAGTGAATTGAAATAAAAGTTACATGAATGTAATGTAGAGTGAAAATGTATCTCTTAAATAGTTCTAAAAAAGTTAGTGTCACCATATATCTATTTTTAATGTGTAAGCCATTACCGCTAAAAAAGTGAATCAAAACTAAAATATTATTTGATTTACATTTCCAAAATGCACATTTTGTACTAACATTTTTTTTTATCAAAACAAATTCTTTTATCGCTTTTGATATTTAAAGACGATAAACTTTGCCTTTTACACTAAGTCATATCGACAAATATTAAAAAGTTACAACGATGACAAAGTGATACCGCGGTGTTCTATGTAGAAGTAGACTGCGGGAATACTAAGAGAAGAAATTTAATATGGGTGTTTATAAACGTGAATAAAACCTAGGCGAAAAAGAAAAAAATGGGCTACTCGTAGTATCTGATCCTATATGAAGTACTTACAATAAAACTGTGATACAGTTCCTTCTTATTAAATGATGAAAAATAAATTAATATGTTACAAAAAAGGTTTACTTAATATAATGACAAATAACCCAGTTTTCGCTAGTGGGTACATACTTATTGGAATCCCTGTATTTATCAATCAGGTCGCGATAATATTGGTTTTGTAATTATAAACGATAATTCAGCAAAATTCAAAGTAAATAATATAGATTTTTATAGGTAAATCACCGCTTTCATCACCCTACGCCTATAAGTATTGCGATGTTGTATCTAACAACCAAGTTCCCATCTACTTCTATAGGGGAATTCATTTTAATCGATTTAGCTATTAGGACACGGAAGCGCAACAAACAAGCTCACTTTCGCATCTATATTATACTTACTAGTGATCCACCCGGGCATTGTACGAGCGGAATTTATTTTATCGGGATAAAATATAACCTATGTCACCATATTTAAATAAAGAAAAATGTAATTATAAATAACTAGCAAACCAGTGAACCAAATGTTCACCAAAACCTGATTTCTCGAAAACCGGAAGTGCTACGTTACTCAAATCTGGTTTGTAGTCTTATCAGACTATTCTTAACTTATAACTTAAATATTCTCTTTATCTATCTCTTACGGTTTGGCCGCTGAAACAGCACCACAGACAGACGGACGGACTTGTCTAATAGATAAGAGATGTAGCTACCTTATGATGAAATAATATTTGAAACCAGTTCAGTAGTTTGACAGATTATTTGTTACAAATATACAAATCTTGCCTCTTTAGAATATTAATATAGATAGTTAGGATAACAGTATTTAATTGATGAAAAAGTTTTAAAAATAAAGTAAGTAATAGGTTTATTTGATTATATTTGTAAAAGTTACTTAGTAGGTATTTGTGCCTAACAGCGGTACGTTATTCGGTATTTTTTTATACAAAAAAAAATGATGTGGTGTCGTGGGACACCAGGTAGGAACGAAGTTCCTTCGGCTAATGTAGAATCGACACAAATTGCAAACTCGCTTGTGTATGCGACTGTCGCGCCTACGCACGTCTCATTTCACGGTTTTATCGCTCTACCACCCCCTATAACTTCACACATATTCACTGTTGGTGTAGTATCACAATATTTCAGTGATGCACCCTCGTCGCTCTACCACTCCCTATAACTTCACACATATTCAGTGTTGGTGTAATATCACAATATTTCAGTGATGCACCCTTGTCGCTCTACCACCCCCTATAACTTCACACATATTCACTGTTGGTGTAGTATCACAATATTTCAGTGATGCACCCTCGTCGCTCTACCACTCCCTATAACTTCACACATATTCAGTGTTGGTGTAATATCACAATATTTCAGTGATGCACCCTTGTCGCTCTACCACCCCCTATAACTTCACACATATTCAGTGTTGGTGTAATATCACAATATTTCAGTGATGCACCCTGGTCGCTCTGCCACCCCCTATAACTTCACACATATTCAGTGTTGGTGTAATATCACAATATTTCAGTGATGCACCCTTGTCGCTCTACCACCCCCTATAACTTCACACATATTCACTGTTGGTGTAGTATCACAATATTTCAGTGATGCACCCTCGTCGCTCTACCACTCCCTATATTCACACATATTCAGTGTTGGTGTAATATAACAATATTTCAGTGATGCACCCTCGTCGCTCCACCACCCCCTATAACTTCACACATATTCAGTGTTGGTGTAATATCACAATATTTCAGTGATGCACCCTTGTCGCTCTACCGCCCCCTATAACTTCACACATATTCAGTGTTGGTGTAGAATCACAATATTTCAGTGATGCACCCTCGTCGCTCTACCACTCCCTATAACTTCACACATATTCAGTGTTGGTGTAATATCACAATATTTCAGTGATCATTCTCGTCGCTCTCTCTCCTGCCGTAAGGAACTTCGTCGCGCCTGCGCACGTCTCATTTAACGGTTTTATTCCACGCATTTTTTCTTACGGTTTTACTATCTCATTTTTTTCAGTTCGGTAGCGCAGCAAAATCCCTATCCCCTCAAAGCCTGCCGTAAGGAACTTTCGTTCCAAAAATATTTGGAAAATAATTGCCATAATTGCACTATTTGCAATATGCGACATAAACGTCATTGATTGGTATTGTATATAGTATATAGGGTGATTAACAACATTTGAAGTTAACTTCTGGCATCTACATATTGGATTTCTGTGAATTATGTATATCAAATTATGAGACTAGGATATGACATTGCATTTGTGTACCTATATCAAAATCTTAGAGCCGGACGTTGACACGATAATGCTGCCACTGCCAATTTTAAATAGGCAGTATAATAAGAATACCTATAAGTAAATTAATTTTATATTTACTGCTAAACTACTAAAAAGAACAAAAACAAAAGCTAAAAAAAATAAAACCGACTTCAAAATCTAAAATGGAACTAAAAAGTAAAAAATAATATCTGATTCTTGATTTGAAAGTCGGGCGGGTCAAGATTGAAAGACGTACTCGTATTATTTACCGATAGATTTTCGTTTCTGATCGGTAAATAATACGTCTTTCAATCTTCACCCGCCCGACTTTCAAATCAAGAATCAGATATTATTTTAAACTTTTTAGTTCCATTTTCGATTATGAAGTCGGTTTTATTTTTTAGACTTGTAGTGAAACCACTTACTACACTGCAAGTTCGGGCGGTTTTGTGTTCTTAACTTTATTTTCGATATTGTTTGGCTTCGTGGTTTGCGGAGCAATGGATAAACCGCCCGCGCGTGCCGTTTTCGTAAGAGCATCCGCGTTTTCACGCAGCACCGCTCCTCCACCATCTCGCCCCGCGGCGCGAGGCTCGTGCGTTGATCACCTAATAGTACAGTCAATCTGTCGAAAAAAAAAATCGTTTCAATGAAAAAAAAATCTAAAGGGTAAGTCTTGTTTTTTCTGTAGCCAAATGACGTCAGTAAGCCGCCTTGGCGATGGGCATGTTCAACTCGTAGGCGTTTTTTGAAAAACTCAAAAAAACGCTCAAAAATTTTTTGAAACGCATTTTTCTTGTTTTGTATGCATTTTAGAAACTTTTCTTTCGACCATAATTGTAGAGGGCGTTGAGTACTACAATTTATGTCGTTGTTGCAATCTCGTACAACAAAAAATGCGCATTGTAGGTGGCGCTAAAGTCTCAAAAAAAGTGTTTTTTCACTTTTTCACCCTGAAAATATCATTTTAATGGAAAACTTTAAATGGGAAAGTTGTTCCGTACATAATTACCAACAACTTTTGTATAAACATTTTTTTTTGTATTACTTACCGTTTTCAAGTTATGAATTGCGCAGGTATGAAAAATCCAATAGAGCGGTTTTTGGGCAGTTCAAGTACACATTTGCAGTGCACATTTCAATGTACGTTTTTACTATTTTTTTTCAATCATGAAAAAAAATAAAAAATAGGTAAACGTACATTGAAATGTGCACTGCAAATATGTACTTGAATTTATAAATTGAAAACGGTAAGTAATACAAAAAAATTGTTTATACAAAAGTTGTTGGTAATTATGTACGTAACAACTTTTCCATTTAAAGTTTTCCATTAAAATGATATTTTCAGGGTGAAAAAGAGAAAAAACACTTTTTTTGAGACTTTAGCGCCACCTACAATGCGCATTTTTTGTTGTGCGAGATTGCAACAATGACATAATTTGTAGTACTCAACGCCCTCTACAATTATGGTAGAAAAAAAAGTTTCTTAAATGCATACAAAACAAGAAAAATGCGTTTCAAAAAATTTTTGAGGGTTTTTTTGAGTTTTTCACAAAACGCCTACGAGTTGAACATGCCCATCACCAAGGTGGCTTACTGACGTCATTTGGCAACAGAAAAAACAAGACTTACCCGTTAGGTTTTTTTTTCACCACTCAACTTACAGATTGACTGTACTATAAGAACAACTAAAATTAATGTGACGTTAGTTGCTCCGTGTTTGGAGAAACCAATTGACATTAAATTGATGGTTCGCTTTCTAGTATTTTACGTTTACTCTTGTTACTTATGTATCTACAAAGTTGCTCAACCAATAAGTAATAAAACAATACAGGGCGGAAATAATTTTGAACAAGTCCATAATAATATTTAGAATGAACATTCATTTACTTTGAAGCCCTAAGCATGGAACGTGGGGTCGAGAGTTCACAAAACTGCAATCATCCACCCTCTGTGTGAACGCACGTGATGCGTCGCCTGCAGCACTTTTTATGGCCATAAGTGTCAACGTAATATGCACCAAAACATAAGCACAGAGAGCTTAATATCACTTAACGAGTTTGTGATAAGCTGCAGTCTCGTTGGAATGCTATTACTATATCCTTTAAACCCTATGGAAAGGGCATAGTGTCCAAATTGGCCGGTTTGCTCGAGTATATGGTGGGCTCTACCGCGCAGCCGCGGAAGCGCCGGTACGTCGCACTAGCGTTGATCTCGAGTCTACCACACTCAGTTTTGTATCACTTACAAGCTTTTATTTCGGATCAAAGCTCGATAATATGATGAAGTTCAATGATCTCAGTGCATTTGTTTCCTTGATAATGTGCTAATTATTAAAGTGATAGTAGCATGTAGTTTCGTAGAGAGTCTTAAGAGTGACTATGTTCATCCCGTTCGGTTTGTTTATATATTGAAGACAACAGATTGGTGCAGCCGGCTTCTGCGGGCGCGTACTAGATGCTCGCGTGTTTCAGTGAGTCTCGAGGCATGAATGGAGCCAGCGGCAGCGTACAGTTTGCCTTTGGTCGTGCTTGTGGGTGATTGGTTATGAGTAGTGTGTGAAACGTGTTACCGGTGTAGTGTTGACGTTTTGCTGAAAATCGAACAGTGCAGTACCTACTTACCTACATTAAATATTTTCATATCGTATAAGATCTTACAGGTAAGTACATAATATACCTATTTATTTACAATTATGATATGATTGCAAGCTCTTCTTGATAAATATTTGGAATCAGGATTAAATTTCTTATTGAAACCTACATAAAACCAATATTTTGAAAAACACTACACTTTAAACGGAAACAAGATGTTTTAGTAAAATAAGTAACTACTGTTATACTATTAACTGAGTAAACAAAGCAAAATAAGATGTTTTTCAGGGCAATTCACAAGATTTTTTATTTGTAATTTTTGACCTTACTTTCAGTGCTATTTACAATGTGATATTATCAATGCTGAATGTGTGTATTCGCTATGACAAATATAAGTATATTATGCCCACATAGAAAAAAAAATATTGGAGTATCGATGCCTTCAGTTGAGTTAGAAATTGACTTCTTCTGACTGGTAAATCTCTATTGGGCTTGTCAATGGCACATATACCTTTTATAGGTGTAGGGAAAAATATTAAACTAGTGTATAAGTTAATTGGTTTAACAATTGAATTAGTAGTATTTTATGCGTAAAATTGATCACTTTTAATGAAGAATCATACCTATCTTAGATGTTTGAATTAACTGTCGCTAATTTAGACCGCCTGACTCTACTGATGACTGAATACCTTGACTGGTGTTTTTCTTGGAATATTTATTTAGGTATAGGTTCCGTACCACAAAAGGAAAAAAGAATCATTTTTTTATCCGTCTGTCAGTTTGTCAAGACCCTTTCATCTCGGGAACGTGTGGAGGTATCAAGTTGAAGTTAAATCCATATACTCAAGTCTACGGTCCCTTGAAGCTGTGGAAAAATCAAACTTCTAAGTTAACGTAAAAAAAGATATGTTGCGTACCTACAAATTTGTACGGAACCCTAGGTGAACGAGTCCGACTTGCACTTTTCCGAATTTTCTTCATGTAAATTTCCTTGAAATTACCAAAGATTTAAATCGTTAGATATGCCCTGACACCGAAAAACTGTGTCCATATTTTGCAATGACGTTATTATGATAGCGGTTTTGACACATTACAATAGAGAAGGAAAGTCAATTTTTTATCGAGAAAATAAAGTAATGCTATTAAATGCGAGTCGCATCTACGAGTAGATATATTTTTTTTGGTATTTAACCAACATTGCAAGCAGTAGCTGATTAAAAGGATTGAATGAAATGAAAAATATAAATGTCTGCATAAGCTCAGCGATCCTATGTGCGGCGATCGTTTTGATTTATTTAGTATACAATTCGAATTTAGAAAAATACAAATGATTAGTTATGTGGTGCATAAGTACATTGCAATTATATTATAACTAGCTGACCCGTTGAACTACGTACCGCCTTTATAACAGTCGATAAATGTGGCTATCTTTAATATCTAGCTTTATTAAATTTAGGACTTTACAAGCGAAATAAAACAAACAAAAAAGTTCAATAGTTTACTCGGATAATCTACATATAAAACAAAGTCGTGTTAGACCAGTTAGGGTCAACACCTAGAACTCAAGAATGGCTAAACCGATTTTTATGAGAATTATGATTTTTTTGGAATCCTCAGCGCCATGAATAGCAGAATAACTATTTATATGTGTATATATGAAAAATTCTACTTAAACTAACTGAGGTTTACCTAAACCTAAATTAGGTTTTCGCCTTCTTGCACAATTAACAGCTCACGTCACAAAAGCACAAAGCTTATTTGTACCTTCTGCAAATCTGTTACTACAAAATTGATAGAAGATGTTCGCTTTAAAGTGTAATTATAATTTAAAGAAAATAATTTAATCATAAGACAAGTTGCAATACTAGCCGATATTTTGGTAAGGAAACGATGGTTAATCAATATCGTAGTTTTCATTTCATTATAACATAAATTTTACTACATTTGGTTTAATTTTCCAAAAATATTCCTAATTTCCTAAGAATTCGTAGGGTACTGAGAGATTAAGTAAGGATGTCTGTGTTTGGAGAATAGTTATTGGGAAAATACATGGCAACCCTGGCAAACAATAAACCCTATTTTTAATTTCGCTGATACACTTAAAGTAAAAATTTCATTTTCTCTATGTAGGCATATTCCTATAAACCATTTAACTTTTTTGTATTTGTTTTATTGCGGCTGCAAAATCATTAATTTAATAAAAATATTTTTTTATTTTTATTAATGTGCTAGAGTGGGCTGGATGAGAGTGGCAGAAAATCGGGAGCAGTGGCGTGCATTAGGGGAGATCTATATCCAGCAGTGGACGAACATGGGTTGATGATGAAATTAATATAACCACATTCATCGATTTTTCGGCGGCATGTTTTTTAAGCTAGTAATGGATAAGGAAAATCATTTAATGGACATCCAGTGATGAACATGCACCAAATATGGACATCTAATAATGAACACAATTTAATAATAGACCCCCACTAATGGACCAGCTCGTTGAATTTAGAATAAGAATTAGTTCCCTATATCTAAGTAAATAAAAACATCAACAATTTTATAATCAACTAGACATTTATTATATTTTTATTTTTTAAAGCATTTATTTGCTAGATTTTAAATCTAAAGAAAACTTTTACTAAAAAAAATCCACGCGGTCCAGGCAGCAGACGGGACTCGAAACTGCACCTTCCGCTATCCGGGCAGATGCACTGACCATTATGTTACCGTGATCTATGCCTTGCGGCCTAAGAAGTACAAGCTGAAATTACACGAATGGGTTTAGTTAGTATACATACATACACTCTCGAAAAACATTACCCTCCTTTCTTCGGCAGTCAGGTAAAAAGTTAGTATAATAAAAACGAGTGGATACCTACCTTTATTTGGTGGCGTAGAGGAGGTGACGAATATCTACGCTACCGTTGGCGTTGAAGTACCAACATGGTGGCGTATTTCTACTTCTACGCTATCGTCGCGTTGAGAAAACCACTTATATCTCTGTAAATAAAGTATGATTTGAGTTGCATTATAGCTCCAAACATGGCTTTCACTTCTACTAACATGATGCACTATTTGTTTTTCGTGTAACAATCAAACTTACTTTTTTATGCACAAAAATCTTACCTTGAAAAAATTGTGTACACAAACTACACCAGACTTTCACATGTCAACTGTCAAAAATATAGCCGCTCGTCAAGCCGCTGTCCACAGATTACAGAAACTCAGTGCTGCCACTTCCCGATTTGAACTTCACCGATTCCTAAAGTTTAATAGAACATGGAGAATAGGTGGCGTTGAGAAAGTGGCGTATAAGTACAGTTTTTGATGAAAATTTATTTGAAATAATTTTCAAGGAAATTCTTAGGATAAACGTTGCTAAATTAAAAGCATGGATAGCTATTAATATAAGTATTCTTAAAGTATCAGCCATGTCTCAAAAACTGACATACTTTTTGCTACTACGATAGTTAGAGTGCACCTCTACCTCGGCGGATAGAAGTTTTTGTGTAATTTTACTACCTTTTTTCAGATTTCATTCGAAATATATTTTTTGTTTATTATCTGACCTGAAATAATCATAATGTCCACTTGAGTCACTCTGTTGCTTAATTCAAAGCCGTCATCGAAAATCCGATATCTATAATACTTTTCAAAATACTGACCGCACAGAAATCAGTTTTCAAAATCAGCAAAAAATGGCGGCCTGACCCTTATAGTCAGACAATTCCTCAGATCATGGTTGATATAAGGATAAGGTATTTGTGTGGTCACAAACACACGAAGCGACTCAGTTGGCGTAGCCCGTGATCGGTTCCCACCACCAGAAGTACTATAGGTACTGAGAATAAAGTAAATTACCAAATAATAATAAAAATGGTTTATTTATCTTAAAAGTTACAATTGTTCTTATATTCTAATTAGGGGAATATAAATATCAATAAAGTGTGCCACAACCGTCAGCGACTCCTTTCATGATAAGTTATGGACACACAAATTAGCCAAATCGAATCTAACTAGCGAACTAACCAAAAGTAAGAAAACAAATAAATTGAAATAATAATAATAAGAAAAATATACCTACGGTGTGTGTGTATGAGTGTTTTGTGTGTATTTTGTGTGTGGTGTATGAATCTAAGTGTACTGTTTGTGATATGCAATTACGCATGTTTATTCTCACGAGCGGCATGGCAATATACTCGTAACGTATATGGGTGATTTATGCAACAACAGATAAAAGATTTTCCGCTTCCATAGAATAACTTAGAGGCTGGCGTTAAAAGCGTGGGTACGCTTTTAAAACCAGTCTCTAAGTTTTTCTTTACACTTAATATATGTAAGTGGATAAACATTATTGTATTTGTTAGCCAAGTTGTAAAGTTGATTAAGCCGAGTGTTATTTCGCTGTGATCTTCTATTACTATTTGATACTACTACTTTCTTTTTGATATTTTCTGTTGAATTTTTAATTGTCATTCTAAAAATAGACTTCAGATAAAAATTTCGTCCGTACAAATTGTATTTTATAATTGTGAATAATTTCCAAATATAGTGCTGATAAGTTGACGTATCATCGTTTAATTACTCCGTTCCGTTAGAGGGGAGCAGCGGTTAAACATCCCCAAATGTTAAAACTATATTTTACTAACTATAAATCCTAAAGAAGATGAATACAGTAGTTTTAAAGTTATAGTTTATATATAAATCACCAAGTTGACATGAAATGTTATAACTATATTATACTAACTATAAATATCATAGAGAAGCTGAATACAGTAGTTTTAAAGTTATAGTTTATAAGAGCCGCAGTAGCATAATTGGTCAGTGCATTCGCCCGGATTGCGAAGGGTGTGGGTTCGAGTCCCGTCTGCTGCCTGTTCCGCGTGGATTTTTTTCTAGTTATATTTTCTTTAGATTTAAACATTAAGCAGTTACATGCTTTAAAAATAATAAAAATTATAATTATAATTGCTATTTCTTCTTTCAAATGTTTAATACTTGTAAAAGTATTCATTTGACATTGTGGGTTACCTATAATGCGAAGAGATGGCGCTGCCTTGCAGTTTAAGAATGGCTA